TAGGCAATCAGCGAACTAATCAATGCGGACAGGTCAATACTGACCTCTGATTCGCTGAGGTGGATCGACCTTGTGACAAAGTCAGTCCGCATGACGTGCGTACGTGCGTGTGGGGGTAGGCTGCAGCAGTCAATCACATGATGTGCGGTAAATGTTACACTGGACTGCAGGCCACAGCAGTAACCATGATAATCATCTGTTCAACACTTGTATTAAAAGATAAAGTCGTTTTTTTACATATTCACTAGAACTCAGGATAATTTTACTGGTCCCGATCTCGGCCCGAGGAGGAACTGACGTCCGACATAAAGATGGTGCTAATAGATTTTTTCACGGTAACCGTATTTTAAATCCACATTGCAGTACCGGAAAGAGAAAAAATTATTAATTAGTTATTAATTATGGATAACGATCAGGGTATCAGTAAACTGGCATACATACAACAAAATGTCTCACTTGCAACAAGTCCTGGGAGTTCGCAAATGCGCACTGGATAATTAATGGGAACGGTGAGTACGCATTTTGAGTACAATGAAATACGCTCCTAAAGGTATTGTTCAGTTTTGATCGTTGGGAAAAACCGCCATTCATGTTCTTTTGCGTAATCCAAACACTACTCCCAATACTGGTAGAGCGTTCCGTCACAATTGGTATTGAATTGCTTTGGATATCTCAAAAATTGTTATTACGCATCGGTAATTCAATGGTCAGTTACTTTATTATTTGCTCAATACGGGAATTCAGATGGTGTTCTTTCAATCGAACTTTCTCGTTCCATTTATCAGTGGTTCGATGCCGCAACCGGGGGTTTAAGTCTAAATGCAGAAGCTGAGTTACAGCATCGAATTCAACAACACCATCAACAACAACAACAGCAACAGCAGCAACAACAACAGCAGCAACAACAGCAGCAGCAACAACAGCAACAGCAACTCCAAGCTCAGCAACAAGCGTTGGCCGTGGCAGCTGGTTACAACTCACCCGGTCTAAGTGTGGCCAGTACCGTCGCGAACCTACAAGGTCAGGCCAATGTGATGAATAGCACTCTGTCTCCGTCTTACGCAGCAGCTGCGGCAGCTGCAGCTGCAAATGTATTGCGCGCGTTCTCCGGTTCAACCGGCCAATTGTCCAATTCGAATGTGGGAAACAATCGATCCAGTGGTACCGGTAACGGGACATCTGGAAACAACGGATCCCAAGTCGCTTCAAATGGTTTACCATCTGCGAGCACAGTCACCGTGACCCCGGTCAGCGCGTCCGGCACAAACAGTGTCCTGTCCCCGGCCATGGCTCAGGGATCTCCGGCCACGGCGAATCAGCAACCCCTAGCAGCTGCTGTTGCGGCGGCTGCGGCAGCGGCTGCCGCTTCACAGAATTTTCCCGCTCAAAATGCGCTCAACAATGCGGCAACATCGTGAGTGTGTTGATTCATTCACTTGGATATTTGGCACCAAGTTTTCTAATCAATAACTTTTTTGTCGAAAAATAAGCACATTTTTTCATTTCCGAATGTCAGAAATACATGCCGCATTATTTAATGATAGGCAACGCGTAAACTAAAGCTTGTATCATAAGCGGTCCCAAATTATCATGTTTCATGACGGGTCACTTGTCGTTACTATCTGTTACTAGTCATATATATTGCGTTGTAATGGCATGATGAAGACACACTGAAAACGAGCTTGCTGGCCAGTTTGTACTCTCTTTATGTGCTCTGTGGGAATGTTTAAACGCGTAAGCTGTTACTGATGTTCAGGGAACTAACCACACACGAGAGTAATTAGCGAAGGGCTCGAAAACCAGAATTGGCAAAATTGGACAGGGGTTAGCGTTCATCTGTGTAACCGACCACATAGCAAACGGATTCTTGAGTATGTGAGCGTTCTATCAAGCGTGAATGAACTAATGCGTTGAGAAGTCCAAATTATCAACGGTATAAGTGGGAGAAGAAAAAGACACGGAATCGTGTTGCGGTCATGAGTCTTGCATTGAATTAGTCTGTTCCTTAGAATTATATTCTAAACACCGTCAAGGGTAGAAACTGTAGTTTAAACAAACCGGAATATACTGGTTATCTTTCAACCGTTTGGTATTATTTTGTATGCGTCAAGCATTGCTTGAACATGTTATTGCTGATGTTGTATTCGGAGAATGATAGCGTTCTTTCCCCGTTTGAACACATGTTCTAACGAAAACAGTCGTGTTTGCCTTTGACATGTTGTTTGCAGATGAGTAAGCGCATCACTAAATAGTGCTGTGAAAGCGTCAAACTTCTAGGACTACTACTCTTTGAAAGGACTGAGGAATTTGGCCGATAGCGGATCAAATCAGTTGGTTCACTAGCAGTAGGAGTGATTGGCACAATCCCGGGGTCGCACAGAGATCCCTTTTTGGTCCAAACCTTATTCCAGCATTCACCAACGGTCTACCAGATATACGTGGGACACAAGCTCCGGTATGCCCGGACGACTTGACATGACTTGAGTTGAGCGACGCTAAACGCGGCATTCTCAACTTTGGCAGCGTATCCCACATTAAAACATACAAGATCACATCAGTATATACCGCGAATTACTTTCCATACGTACTTTATACTTTTTACTTTGGAATCAACCATTGCCACGTGTTATACACATCAGACAGATTTGGAACTTATTAGTTGGGAGCAGTTGTCATGCATTGTTGCAGATCCTTATCAATGCATCGAAAGCACGCTGGATTACTGAGACCTATTGCTCCGTTTGCTAGCAGCATACATTCAACCGCAAACTGAGTTCATTGTTCACGTTTGGAATAAGTCATAAGAAGAATACGCTTGAATAGCCGCGCAGACTCAGAGCCGAAATGGTCAAAGGAACACAATCCGAAATGTGCACTGGAATGGAGTCAACACTAAGACTCCGCCTGACCGAATATCACATAATTCGAGGAGATATGATCAAATACTGCATCAACCTAGCCAGTAGTCTGCTAAAACAATTTAGCAGTGATTACGTTAAGACAAGCCACTTCAAACTGCTGCTCTGGGAGAGTCCGCCAAATTCTCGACGTTAGTCTTTCGGCGTCAGAGTCTTGAATACCTCGAAATCTTTTCTATCCAAAGTTGTCCGTGCTCCGACCATTAATTCATTCAAGTTACGCTTTGAGGAGACAGTGAAACTGTCAGCTGTCCAACACGTATGAGTTAGTGGGGATATTGATTAGCTAGTGAGTGGGCTATCACCCGAAGCCTATGTGCAAACACCCGATGGGATTCAATAAGTTTAAGCGTTTGATGTACTCGGTCAGAACTGTTAATCGGATATCCACTGATCTCCTCGGTAAATTGGTTTCAAGACCCCCAAGCTGTGGTGGTCCAGGCATGTANGCGTTACAGTTTCAGGATATTGGCGATCAATCAAATTTGAATGCTGACGTCAATGACACGTGCATGGCTTCTAAATACACGTCATTGGTGGATAGTGCCAGCCAATCCAAGACAGTGCAGACAGAAGCAAGATTATGCAAGCAGTACTGCAATCCTATTGGTGGAAACACAGATAGCCAATAATTTCCCTTCGTACATATTATTTAATCACCTTCATTTCTTTCAATAAACGAACTACTGCCTACTACCATTCCTGTGGCCTTTTCCTCGCGTCTCGTTCTCGCGGGACAATGCGAACCCGTGCCATTGTGGTCCAGTGCTTCTGTGATCCAGTCCGTCATAGTTGATTATTGATTCGGGTCCTCTGATTCATGTTGCGTGGTTGGTGTTCCGAAATCCGTGCGTATTACCACGAATACTACAATCATTACACAAGCCGATGAGCTTTATTGAATTTCGGACTCCAGGTGTCCTCTGCTAGTTTGGTACGGTCTATGGAAGCACACATCAAGCCGTGGTACCAATTTCTTCCTCAACCAGATTTTAAAAACCATGTTATAATGATGTATATGTCCCGTTTTGGAAGATTTCTTATCCTATCTCCCCCCGCCCGGCCGCTGTGGGCGCTGCTTTTGCAATCGCGTTTCTATGCATGACGACTTCGTGGTCTATTCCTACCCCGTCTTCCCGAACAGATACCTCCCCGACCTGAACGCTGCTGCTGCCGCGGCCGCCATGGATCCCTATTTGAACCGTCTAACTGCCAGCTATGCATTGAACAATACTGTGGTAACAACTCCGGCTATTTACCGGACAAATTCTACCTACCAAAGGTTCTCACCCTATTGACTTTCAAGCATACCTCCCTGATTTACGTGCCCACGGTGATCGTTACCGTATGAGTACCTGGGCTGGCGGGATTGGACCACGGACGAACTTGGCAGACCAGTTGCACGGAACAGTTTGTATACAATTTATTTGTTCGCAATCGTGGGTTGTTTTTTGTATGCGTGCGTGTGCTTTTAATTTACACCGGATTGCTACTAGTGCCTGTGTGTACAGGTCTATGCGTGTGTGTGTGTGTGTGTGGTTCTGTGAGCCTGAGTTCTGCATTTTGAACGCTTGATATCTCTATCCACCACCATCATCACTCATCATCCTAGTCCGTAGTCCTTGCTCCCCGGACATAATTGTCTGGCTTTATTTGTCTCTGTCTCTACGGAATGTGGCTCCACGCAACCCCGGCCCCTCTTCCATCTTTATTCTGTGCTAGTGTACTATTTGGACCGGTTCTGTTCGTCCATGCGTGTGTGTGTGTGCGTGGGTGTGTGCATTTATCCCTCTAACCACCCAGCGTAGGCTTGATCCACAACCACGGAGGGTACTTTCGGTGCATGCGGTTCTGATCATTGCATTCGAACGGAACGCGGCCAACTGGTACCCTCGCCCCGTCCCCGTCCTCGCCCCCCATCACGCACACACACCTTTACGATCCCGTCTCTGTTCACCGGGTCTGATTTGCCGTCGCTGCCAAGCCGTATCTCGAATGGGCTATTTGGTAGTCCGCTGTGGCAACCGCATTCGTACTGCCCGCCAAATGAGCCCCCCACCCCACATTCTTATAGCACATTTGGTCCCCGCACCTCTAACCCCGTTTTCCTTTCCTCGGTCCTTCCCTATTCGTTTGTGCGAAGCGCCTGTCTAGTCACAATGGTCTGTCTGCGGTTGTCTTATTTATGCTTACTCTCTCTCTCTCTCTATACATATATATATATATATTTTATTTCATCCTTTTTTCGGTTTAGTTGCATTACTTGTGTAATCTGTGTAATATTTTTTGAATAATTTACTCATCTGCCCGTCTCGCTCACTAAACACACTTGTCCTGCCTCAAGAACGGCCGTGACACGCTCGTTTCAGCCGTTCTGCACGTGACCCGTTTCACACTTGCGGTGTGTGCTCCCCAATTGCCCCTTGTTGATTGGGCGGCTTGGTTTGTCAACAGTTTCCATAGTGAATGTGTGTGTGCGCGTGCATTGGTTTTTCTGTGATTGGATGCTTGCGCACGTATTGTGACGGCCGTGGAGAGGGGGATTCATCTTACTGTTGCTGAATCCACCTCATTCCCGTCTGATTGCCACGATTCAGTGAAACTGTGTTTGGCTGATTACCGGGACTACCAGCGAACTGTTTCGTTCTGATTCGATCGATCGACTACAGATTGAGTGCATTTCACACAGTGAATGAAATAGCTTGTGGCGTGTGCGTGCGTGCGTGCGTGTGTACCAAATTTGGGCAGCAGTTCACTTCGTGTTACCCATACAGCTTGCGTTCTATTTCTCTGTTTCCACGTTAGTTGCTTTGATCACAGGTAAACAATTACACACACACACACACACACACACACACAAGCACCTTGTTCAATACAGTCAAAGAATAGCCCCTCATTCTGCTGCTCCAGTTTCCTCTTGTGATCGGGAAATGCCTCAAACTGTGAAAAATGAATGCGTTTAATAAGGTGCGCGTGTTTGTATATGTATATATTTCTATATTTCCAAGCGGACGGGTCTACTTCGAGTTTATTTGTTTTCATTTTGCCTACATGTATTATAATATTGGGAGCCAATGTCATGACTTGATCTCTTCTCTCTCTCTCTCTCTGTTTGCCCTTCTCCAACGCACACAACGGGTTGCGTCAGCATTTTTTATGTTTTCAAATTCTAATTTATCGCCTCTCGTCTGTGCTTTCTTATCTGTCTGTGCCCTCGCGCTCATCGCTGTCTCTCTCTCTCTCTGTCCGTGTGTTTGTGTGTGTGTGTGTGTGTGTGTGTGTAATTGCATCGTGCTTCACATTTTCCAATGCAAGTGTATTTTCAACACCGACACAAAAAATACGACACAATTTCTCCCATTCCATCGGACTTTTGCTCGTCACACACAATTGCGTTCTCTTTGTCGGTATGTAAGCATGCGTAGATCAGGTGGACCGTGATGGTTTCGACTAGACCCAAACTGCAATTACACCGATCCGCAGAAACAGTACGATTCAATCCTGATGGTGTGGACAGGGAGACTACTGTCGCGTCTCCGTTCCTCCTTCCAGAGCGTGTTGCGAGTCTCCGTTATATGACACCTGGTGTACCAATTTGCGGGACTACCTTACAGATAAATTCTATGAGATAAATTGCTACCAGTGTAGAACTGTTCGGGAATAGATAGAAGACTTTGCCTGGACGGCGTTGCGCTCACTATATCACCGGCGCACGCGCACACACACACACAGAACTAACTAGAGCGGGAATCACCCAGATGAAATAGTCCCGGGGAAACGGAGGCTCATTCGGACGACTATCGCGGTCAACATATGATCCCAGTGGAATTTTATTTCCACGTGCACTTGAAGCAGGCGACTACCATCAGTACAGAACCAATGGAATATAGTGATATCCGAGAAAACCTTATCGCGTACAGTGACAAGTGTCTTATTTGAAACGTATGTTCTCGGACAACATTGTGAACTTCCAATGTATCATTGCAAAAATTAACTGAGTGAGAAAGCAATATCCAGCTTTCTGTTTAACCGAGATAACTGCAGTAACAGGACATGTGCGATCGATATTGATTCACTTTGCTGAATGTCGCTTTTATCTTCGACTATGTGCAGGCCAGTGCGTATAAAGTTGCGTTCTTCTTTCGATCCTCCTGTTTTGGAGGTAATTTCATTAACTGTCCACGATCCCATAGGATGGTGGTTTACACCTTGCGCTCGATAGCCTCCACGGAAAGATAGAAATGCATTCGGGCAATCAAAATACAGGTGTTGACCAAACTCGTGCAACATCACCCTCATTTTGAAAACCCATTTCAGCTTGTGATAGCATACTTATATATAGATGGTTATGAGTACAGTGTATTTATTCCTGACTTTATCTCCAACATCTACGTTCTTAGTTCATTTCTATCACCACTTGAATGTGCGCGACCTTGAGTGTCGCTATAAAATTTGCAGTAGTTCGAAAGTTACTGCTCTGATTTAGAAAATATTTTGGGCAAAGTAGCATGGGTGTTCATGCTTTTTAATAGATGATTCGTGTCCAATGAGAGTTTCTATTAGGTTGAGCACACGCATTCTAAATTTCTCTACTCTTTTTTCATTCAGTGCACAATAAATAAGCAAATTATTGAAAATATTCTAACTTTAATAAATTGCTAAATTATTAGGCTACAAACTACTCACGCAT